TCTCTTCAGATTAGAGCCCAAAGCTATGTTGTTATCGGGGGGGGTGGGCTTGCCCTTTTTTCTCATATACATACTCTAAGCCCTCTTTTTTTTTTTTTTTTGGAGAAGACCAGTTGTATAAAGAAGACGCAGGTTATTCTAGGGGGGGGGGGGTGCGCACCCCCCGCACCCCTCCCCCTAGATCCGCCCCTGTCTCCCTACTTCTTAAGTACTCTAGCCGCCTCTTAAGTGCTTTACAACAGAACAGAGCGCAGTCAAAGCTTCTTTATTTGCCTTATGATAACGAATCCGTTAAATTCCCCTCGCGTTACTTTCTAATTTTCAAAACAAACTATTGGCTGATGGCGTGACAGCTTTACCTTCGTGTTTAATATCTCATAAAGCACCCTTTTTTAACCAATCAGAGTGCGCGTCATATCTGTTCTTGGTTACAAATAGAGATTGAAGATAGCAACTTTACCTAACTTCGATTAGGTAGGGAGTGGTCGCCCAGTCTCCCAAGCAAGGCACTCAGGTAAAAAAAGGCTCTATCAAATCGTGTAAAATGTATCCTTATCTGAAAATTTGCGTACTGAATTTTTTAATAAGAAGAAAAAACTTAAGGAGAATAATAAAAGTAGATATTTTCAAACTTCAATTAGCATATACCGTTGGACTTTCACTTAAGGAAACCCGACTCAATAACGAGCTTTCCGGTATAAGTACCTCTTGCATATTAGCCTCGTTTTGGTCTCAGTACTGTATATTACGGACTAAGGTTTTTCATCGATTCATTCCCGCTTGGGCCATAAATTGATGGAAAGAAAATTAGGTGCCTTAATTTAAAGTACGGACCGAGAAAACGAGGCTAATAAGATGTCTGTTGTACGACTTCCTGTTTGGGGACCGGGAAAAAGAGCAGGACAAGCGATGTGACAGTAATTTGACAGGCTTCAGAGAAAGAAAGTTTTTATTGGCTCCCGAAAAAAATAGCACATTACAAAGTAGAAGCTTGTCAAGGTAAGTTTGTTATTATTGTTGAACGATTCGCTCGTTTTTCTTTAAAGAAACGTCTCGAATCTCTTACAGTCCATTCTCGTCTTCTTAACCTTGACCTGCCATTAAATTTTCGATTACTGACTAGAATTCTCTTCTTCGGTGAGATTACGAATCAATTTCTTCGTCAGCTTCATTCTCAAATAAACACAGGTTAAAACGTGGAGGGACGAAGTCAACATCTAGGTTCTCAGGGTTTACAAACATATACTTTGTTTAAATTTTTTCTCGAGATAAAAAAAATTAGCACTGCAAAATGAGTATTTGATTTTTAAATTTTGGTCGCTACAGTAAGTTATGGATTGCAAATTAACCAACCGAAGGGTGAAAATAGTCTTAATTTGCCATATGATAACAAGTGATTTTTGTCTCCCCATTTACAATAATAAGTAAGTATGGAATAAGACGCAGACGTCGTAGCAACGAAGTGCCAAAGGACGGTAACACACAATGCAGACTCGACGCAGACACAACGTAACATCGTAGTAACGGAGTGCCAAAGAACCGTAAGTTAATTACAACAGTACCCCCGTACGCCCGTTAAAATTAGTACATTCTCCCAGTCTACTGACAGCTCGTTGTATCGGCATTCCAATCTACAAAATACTTTTTTAAAACAACTTGACTTTAACAGCCGTGTAAAGGATTTAATATACAGTTATTTCGAGAAAGGTTGTCGGGAAAACTGTGAACGCGACAATCCCGAAAGGTAATATGGGATGTGATCAATACACTGTTCCTGACACTGTAGCTGTTTAACCTACTTTTGTTGCTTTCCTTTAGCACTCGCAAACATACGTTCATGGCCTCTCCTGCCACTCTTTCAAATTTCCTTGAAAAACAGTGAACTAAAAACCATCCACAATGCCTTTCGGGATTGTCGCGTGCACTTTTTCCGACAACCTTTCTCGAAATAGCTGTATGCTAAACGAAATAGCGGAATGCAAGTTATAGATATGGATTAATTGCTAGCGAAATTGCAGGAAAAAAAGCCCGCGCTTCCGGTCCCTCCTCCCATATTACTCTTCATTATAACCTAGCTCACTCGAACGAATTGGAAGAGCAATGACGTTTTCATACACTGACAAAAGTGACAATGTGTCATTGTTGTTGGTAAACTTGTAAAAGCACCCACATAGACCCATTAAAATGTGTTGAAGCTCTGTAACTGCTTATGATTCCCACGGTATGGCCGTTGCACATTAGTTTCTCTAGACAGCTTGCGTCAACTTCGAATACCCTTAGTGCCATGATACATGAAGCATAGGCAAAATTCTACTAATATTCTCATAACCTATTTCTACGATTTTCAAGTGATAGCTAGTGATAACTGTGGTCTAGGTTTCGTCAGTCTGATCAAACTTTGATGATACCACGGTTGAGAGTGCAAGGAAAATTTCATTTATTTTTTGTAACTTTCGAGATATTACTATCCAGGCTATGCTTCAATTTCAAAGCAATCGAATCGGGTAATTACTGAAACATTCTGATCTTGATAGGTTCATTAAGGGGCATCCACACCCCTGTTCCTTCGCCTGTAACCCCACCCCCTTCCCATTGTGATGATATGCAAATTTCAAACATGTCTAACTTGAAAACAAAAATCCAGTCCCTCAGGGCTGTTCCAATGGATTTGAATCCCCGTTGTGCAATTGCTTCTTCAGTGTTCACGGAGCTCCCTCAACGAGTTCTCAGAAAGGCAGATAAATTCAGGGGCGTTGATTTGAGAATCCAACTCTTTTTGTCAAGTTTCAGTTCCTCCGAGACTTCTAAGGAGGTTAATTCACTGGCGTTTGATGACTGAGGCTACAATTCAATTTAAATAAGAAAGTCGTTAGTTTCATGTAAAGATCCAGTTGCGTTACACAATTCATAAAGGGACTAGGCAGCTGTGAAGTACCTAAGATAGACAGCCCTGCATTGTGCGGTGGAAGATCTAAGAAAAAAGGATTTCTACACCTAAACCGCGTTAAAACTCTCGAAAGTGGTTTTACAACCAACTCGAACCAACAGGTACCAACAGAAACTATCATGTTGTTGCCTGAGTTCAGTGGACACCGTCACTACGACGCAGCATTTGCTTCGATCAAAGAAAACACACACTCATTTTCTTATCTGAAACCCTCTTTTATACGATGGAATTTTCATGGCACAACGAGGATTGGTTTTTGGGGGCTTCACTATATAGTTAATCTACCGCGATGACTAAGAGAATGATAAAAGAAACTAACCTTGCAGTCTTTTTAGTTTCTTTTGGCAACTGTACGTGGACGAATTTTATTCTTGTCTGGGACAGACCAATGGCGACAAGAGGCTGGTACAGACAGGCTCCCAAACAGAACGGTTGCTCTCCAATGTCTAGAACACTTAGCAGATCTCCTGTTCTGATATTATACAATCGAAGGAAGTTGTCCCCACTGCAGCAAACCACAGATTTATCATCGAGAAACTTACAATCAACAATGTCATTTTGTTGACCATGGAAGACGTGCAATGTTTCTCCCGTATCTGCATTAAGTATATGTAGGCCATGACCTTGGTCAAGAGTGTTCCAAGTGACAACAAATTCATTTCTAGGCGAACAGAGCAGGTGTGACTCAATTATACAATCAATCCAGCACGTTGTTCTTTCCCACACAATCAAACCGTTTTTCCTTAAACTGAGTTTTACGTTCTCGAATAAGAGAACTCCAATATCTTCCTCTTTAAGAGTACAAAGTAACACTTGACTTGGATCACTAAATGAAACTGAAAGTATCATTTCATCGGCATCCAAATCGGCCTTCAGTGATGAAACAATCCTGCTGCCAGCACTGGTCACGTCCAAGACGTCAATAACCCAATGGTCTTGAGAATCGGCACACCATTCGTCTATATCATTAGGCCAGTCTTCTGAATTATCTGAACCCTCATTCTCTAAATCCTCCGACAGTTCGTAAAATGGCACCGAATAACAACAGGCTATAAATACCTCTGAAATAGTATAAACTTTCTCGTATTCGGTAACCTTGGGAAGAGGTCTAAGACAAGTGGACATGTCAAAGCTCCATAACTCTGCGACTCTGTCATGTTTTCGAAGCATGACGCCATCTCTCGTTGGAAAGATGGAAATGGGGCCAGGGAATATTTTGGTGCTCAACAGCTCATTATTTGACATTCTAAAAACAGTCAACGTTAAGTTATGATGAAGAGATTCTGATTCTGAAGTAATGGAATAAATGGCATCTCCTTCTAGAGAGAATGCAATCTTCACAACAACTCCGCCGTTCTGCAATCGAAACACCTCTTCAGTGTTTACCATAGCGACGTATTTGCAAGCTGGGCTACCAACCAATGCGGACTCATTATTAAGTCTGATGTAGGCGCCTGCGTACAAAAACTTACTGGGCATTACGCGATGCACCCAATAGTCCTGCATCGTTAATTCCCAGTATCCCGATTCCCAATCCGAAGTGCCTGATGAGACGTATGGCCATAACCTAAAAGCTTCAGGTTGAACAGAATCAAAAACGAGATCGGAATTAACAGTTAAAAACTGTGGTCGATCACAAAATAAACGTTTATAAGCGCCACATTCATACTCGACAGTAAAACCAAGAAACCCGCAAACAAGGGTGTTCTCAGTATCGGGTGTGAAATGCATCAGCCCACAAACCACCGACTCAGTTCGAAGAATCCTCTGGACACTTTCGTTAACTCGATCAAAAATAACAATTTCAAAAGTCACTTGGGAAAGAGCAACTTGTGACCCGTCTTCCGAAATGGTAAAGGTAGCAATGTCTTCGTCAGCAACGATGTTTAAGACGTTTTCACCATTTACTATATTCCACAAGGCTACCTCCTTTGGCTTATTTGGGCGGTCAGTTAAAACTTCTTTCTTGTCTTTGCAAAAGACGAAATTTGAAAAAATGCAATCACTGCTGGGGAAAAGGTCTTTCCTATCTCCATCCAGAGTATACACAAATTGGAGTGTCCCTGCTAGCACAGATTCCCCATTTGGATGAAACGTCACAGAACGGTAATAAGACAAAGAGTTATTACCTACAACACGGTATGCACTGTCGTCTGGATATCCAGAATAGAACTCTTTCTTCGTCAACGTTGGCCGAACCCATATCTTGTTACCTGTCAGAAGGGACCATAGACAGATAGTTCCATCTCGACATTCGCATATCAAGTAGTCCATTTCAGGTGAAACATCAAAGCAAACGATTTTGTCTGAACAGTAAAACCTTGCCTTATCAGTTCTTCTCTGGTCTTCATTCTTGAAATGTTTCATGTAGGGTATTTTGGGTGTTGACGATTCAAGGATAACTGCTGCTAAAGACGATAATTCAGGAATTCCTTCGTTAATCAAGCATTGGAAAAGTAGGTGAGGGTGATCAACCAAGATATAAAAGTGTTTTTTAAGAAGACTAAGGAGAGAAGTCACAACGAACTCTCTTTCGACGCTTAATAAACTGCAACTTTGACTTTGAAGACTGAGAAGATCTTCTGTAGCGAATGTGCTCTTAACTTTAAGTTTCGCATAAACAAGCTCCAGGTCCGTTGCGTATTTGTACACCTGTTCTACTCTGACACTGTTGGTTCCTGTTGCGTCAGCGCAGTCATGATAGTTCACCACCTGAAGCATGTGCTGGGTACCATGATGCAAAGCATATGATTCAGTATTCGTAAACTGTCTGTCATGAACCCCTTTTCGCTGCAAGTTATCGAGTTCAGAAGCACAAAGATCAGAAAGGACGTAATGACCTTCTTTCTCGTCCACCGCGAAATCATGCTGTTCATAAGGCAATGATGCTATTAACCAGTCCTTGATTGACTTGTGAAAGAAGTGCAGACGACCCTCGCGAACTGGTAACAGTGTAGAGATGCAAGATATTGCTTTTTTAACTTTTCGCTGCGCAGTCAATGATTTTCCTCCAGGGTTTAGAATTTTGGCGATGAATTCTACTGGTAATGGTTCCCTTGCAGCGGCCAATGCACACAGGAAACGCAAAAAATGTTCCTCATCTGCATGAAGCTCTTTGCAAAGTTCATTCTCTAACCGTTTGAAATAGGACAAGTAAACGGATGAAATACCTGAAGGCAATACGCTTTCCAGCTGATNCAAGATATTGCTTTTTTAACTTTTCGCTGCGCAGTCAATGATTTTCCTCCAGGGTTTAGAATTTTGGCGATGAATTCTACTGGTAATGGTTCCCTTGCAGCGGCCAATGCACACAGGAAACGCAAAAAATGTTCCTCATCTGCATGAAGCTCTTTGCAAAGTTCATTCTCTAACCGTTTGAAATAGGACAAGTAAACGGATGAAATACCTGAAGGCAATACGCTTTCCAGCTGATCAGGGGTGAGAACTGAAACATTCTTTTGGATGAAATCCACTATATAGTAAGCGTAAATAAACAGGCCTTCTGATTTCTTAACCAGCTCTTTCAAGAGAATATCTTTATGCTTTTCACCAATTTTGTTGCTGAGTTGATTTTCAAACGAGGTTTGAATGTCATTTAAGTTTTCCTCACGCTTTTGTTTAAGCTCGATTGGCTCTAAATGTCGCAATACCTCTGCTATGCTCCTCTCTGGACGAGTTGTGATCAAAATTCTCATCCAAACTGGAAGCATAGGAAAGTGGTTACTGATTACATGTAGAAGCTCATTGCGTCCTTGGTACTCGCTTTCATCGAGGCCATCTATGACTATTAGAGTGTTTCTTCCAGGATCTTGTACTGTGCTGAGAGGCTCTTTGAACAGCAACGCAAACAGCTCTTCTACACCCATGTTGTTGAGGTCTTTTCCCAGATTTCTAGACAACTGTTCTAACAGAGTATCTTTGTAACTTGGCATCGCTTGACACAAGTGGCAGGCCAAAGACTGGAGCATTAAACGAGGATCTCGGTACCGTGAATTGTTATGCTGACAGAAGTGGCTCCCTGACAATCTTCCAACTGTTTGCATTCTTTGCGAAACAACAGCGGAAATAACAGTCTTTCCCATCCCTGGATTGCCACTAATTACCATCACGCGATGTCGCGAGCTCCGGTCGTCTAACCAGTCTTTGATGCTTTCGAAGATCCACTCACGAGTTCCTTCCTGGAATTTGTTTGCATGAAATTCTATGTCTCCTTTGAATTCCGACTTCACAAGGGTTTTTAGTACCTCATCTGCGTGCCCGTTTTTCCTTTTCGTCAAGCCTTTTACCTCCTGTTTTACTTCTTGAATTGATTCATGCATTACATCGACAGCATGAATGGTTTTGGATTGGGAGTCACACACTTTATCCAAACGCAAAATGTTCTCCTGATGTGCTTCATTTGTCGCTTGATGTGTTGCGTATACCAACTGGCTTACTTCATCCAACTTTGACTTGCTATCAAGAAGGATTTTCTCACCTTTGAGCTCCACCCTCAATACTTCTTCCGCAACGTCTTGTGTTTTACATTGGGTCTCACTGAATTTTAGTTGCCTCTGGTGGATATCCTTCAGCTGCGCCTTAATATCCTCTTCACTGCCTGCCCACTCAATTAAGGCATCAAGATAATCCTCCTCTCCACCCTGCTCTGCCTTCAGTCTGTTAACTTCAGCCTGATCCAAACCAAGACAAATAAGAGCCGTGCTTATTTCATGCCAGAAGGTAGAGAAGGATGTCGCATCAACACCACTGGACGTCACATGACCATACAGCTCATTCCGAAAGAACTTAACGCGAGCAAGGTTAGCCTCAAGAGAGTTATCACCAGGGGATGGCTTGGTGTGCCATCCAGTCAGGGGAGGGGATAAGCCACAAATGTTGGTTAGCAGTAGGAAAAGAAGAGTGATGTCAAACGTGTTAGAGTCTGGCACCCCTCCACCAGGGGGAAACAGTTTGTCCCACTGATGGCCATTTAGAACTCTTCTACGCAAAAGGTTGTTAAGAATAGAGTAATCGGTATTGAGACCAGAAGCCAAGTTGGCAGGTGGGTGATAGCGATCAAAGACATTCCTCAGTACTGTTGTTCCGCCATCGATGAGAAGCCTGCTCAGCTTGTTTCCATTTGTCTTCGCTGGAGAACTGGCCAGGGGTGCAGTCGCCATTTAGCAAATTTGATGCGAAAGAAAACATTCACATCTTGGAAATTCATTCTTAACCTAAGTTGGGACGAAAGATAAAACGTGAGTCATACCACAATTAACTCGAGGTTAACTCGCTCCGTCCTGTTTTTGCTTTAATTGTTTGTTATTTTATTTTTATGATTACAAGACCATGAAACTATAAAGACGAAGTCACGCGTAAAGGGAGATTGCGAATACGTTTAATCGTATACAAATTAGAAATATGCGAGTCTATTAATAGGAGTACCATTATTATTGAAAACTTACATACAATACCCAATACATCATTCATCGATGTTATTTAGTATATACACCAGCTTGAGTTTTAGAACGAAAGGGAACGCTTTGAGCTGGCTATGATTAAGCGAGCGCATGAGCAGGACAAGAGCTATTGAGGTCCGCTTAACTGAGTTCCGCTTTACTGGACTTTAAGTAGTTATTATAATTACAAGAGACACGGCTTTCCTTGTGCATTTGGGATCAAATTTCATAGAAAGTTCGGAAATCATTTACTGCCAGGTCGCTTTTATAAGTCAGCATTATATATTATCAAGAGAGAATCGGTTTTTTGAAGCAAACTGAATGAACAAATTATCGGTCTATTCTTTCAGTGTTTAAGTACGTAATCAATACCGAAGCCATGAATTAGCTTTCATTGCCTTGTAAGTTATCATTTGACTGCATACACTGATTATACTTATGATCATTGGCTTTTCGTTCACTTGTGACAATTTCCTGACAAAAGCGCTACTTGTCTGATCTGTTGCTCCCAAAAAGCAGAAGAGCCGTAAATTGTACGTGTCATATAAAACGCGCAATGCATATGACTGCGCCTGGGTTATCAACCGTGTCAGCTTTTGACGCACACGATACTTTACGTTTATATACGAATTTAACAGCAAAGGGAAAAGCTAAGAAAAGCATAAACTTTCAGACATCTTCAGCACACAAAAAAACCTGGGGTCTACGACGTACTTGCATGTACTTGAATTGGCAGGTAACAGGCATTAATAGCTCAAACAGGCCTGGTTTCATCAAGGCGGAAATATAAAGATATGTCTTCTCACAAGGATCCCAAAGAATATTCTTTCGTTCCATATTCTTCTCAACTCAGGTCATGACTTGTACTAAATATAGCGACCACATAAGCTAATGGCCACAGAAAGCTTGAGTTAAACTTTCATTGAGCAAGTAGCTAGAAGCTAATAGAGTTAAGAGCCGGGGGATTTAAGACCAATTGTAACGATCTGCTTCATGAATTGGTTATCCATTCTTCCTTTATGCTCTCTGATGAAAATGGTTTGCAAATGCAAAATCTTGTCATCGATCGGAATTTTTCACGTTATCCCGAACATCATAATCAATCTTCATAAAACTGCACTGTATATTTTAATAATATCACGGTGGATGCATTATGATGCCTCGATAAATTAAATGCTCTGTGAAACGATCTGTGAAGTACACAAACCCCCTGAAGTTTCTTTTTAACAAACTTACCTTTCTGCCGCCACATTCGCTAGCTAAGCCTCTTCCGAGTAGACTCCTGTACATGTTTCATAAAGAAACAAAGTTTTTTAAGTAACATGGCCCATCGATGAATCTAAAAGTTAGACAGTTAAAGCATGACAACCTCTTGTTTGCATTTGTATCAGACGTATGTTGTTTGACTGTTTCGAAAACTTTGCAATTAGAAGAAGGGAGTGTTATTTTTGTTTTGCATCAATAAGCGCCAATCGGCAAGCGCTTATTAATAAACCGACAAAACAAATCTCAGCTCTAGTTCAAAAGAAGTATGGGAACAAGAAAGAACGGAGAGTGGGAAGGACGCTACGCAAGCCGTGTCATAATCCCTTCGAGGGAACTTCGGGAGTGTGTTATAATTAAGGTCGTTGTTTTAATGCCAAATAAATAAGAAAGAAAGAGTAATTAGCGAATTCGGAATGGATTTAAAGAAATCTTTTTGTTGGCGTTCTAATCTAAGCAATGATTTCATAATTTCTTACAGGCCAGATCTTAAAACGTGCGTGTGACACTCGCGGTTTAACATACAAAAAGGCAGTAATACGCTGGACAGCCATCTAACTTTTAGTTCATCGTGAGCGGAATGATGATAATCATGATTGGGTTTAGGATAAGTTTTGTAAAATTTTACTGCGCACAGTTTAAGACTGACACTCAGCAGAACAATTATTTGATCAGTACAGTTCTACTCTTTTCGCGTGTGTTAAAGCACACTTATACCCACCCCCACAGAGGCACAGGTGTAGGGGGAGGGGTTAAGCTGCAACTCCTCTACGGAAGCTGAAGTGCGTACGTTGTACTCAAATGGGATAGATGCCAACCTCTGAGAATCTGGAGAATATTTCATTAGTACTATTCCATCCTACCCACTATATATCACTTTGAACCCACCTCAAAGACCCCACCACCGATTCGTAAACAACTTAGCCCGTGAGAAGCCCTTCCGTTTGGGGAAAGGGGGCTTAGTATCGGACGAGATGGGAAGAGGGGAAGTGGGGGAATGGCCACCGCCCTTTTCCCCTCCTTATGCCTAGCTATCTTTTTTTCCCCTTTTTCCCCATTAAGGAGTCTGGTGCAAGGCTGGACATAACTCAACCTGACTGACCCAGACTTCAAATCGGCTTCGCTAAAGCTGAATGTCATTTAATCAAACAGCTGCTATAATAAAGCCAGACGTTCCTTGTTCCTCAAGCTGGGCTTGTTTCTTATGACAGGCACTGACTGCTTTGGCCATGCATGCTTGTAAATAGCCAACTGGTTTGTCTCTTACCGGTCGGGATTCCTTCATAGAACCCGGAGGGAGAGGGGCTGGGCATTCCCTTATTTGACCTAAAATTTGTGCCTCTGAACAGGGTTTGGTTTTCAGAATCTTGAGTCTAAGACGTGTCATACAATTTCATTTTTTAGCATCTTGAACACGGGGTGTCATTTTGGACAAGAGGCCTTTAAAAGAGTGTAACGGTTCGCGAGAAGCGGTCTACATTCAGACGTGGTACCAAAATGTTTTTCCACAAAATCTTTAATTACATGATGTTAGTTTGAAAACCTCCTAATTCTACATGCAAAACGGGACGACAAATAAGCGATTTTGTCTTAAACAGGTTTAGGGTTTAAATTTTAAAATTCAATTAAAATTGATAGATTTTCACAGTTGTTACTGCGCTTTTCACAAACATGCAAATTCTGAAGTTCAAAAGCCAACTGACGATTGCGTTTTTCGCTGCCGTCAATCATCTCAACGGACCTCTTAGGAAACAAAACTTTACTTTAACGGGTTCAAAAGGTCAAGGTTTGTGATTTGTGATTGGTGGATTTCGATCCGTTTTGTGTGTTTCTGTGTTTCAAGGTTCGTTGCTTGTGATCGTAATTATGATTGACAGCAGTGAAAAACGCAATTGTGAAGGCGGCTTTTGAACTTTAGAGTTCGCATGTTTGTGAAAAGTGCAGTAAGATGTGAGGTCGCATTGCACTTTGTAAATACTTGAGATATCAATGACTTAACCTTCAAATATTCGTTACGTATATTTCACAGGTGTGTTACGGGTAGCTTTTTGTACTTGACTGTCACGCACTCCGCTGCTTGCAGGACTTCATTTCCAGTAGAATCTACCAGCCTACAAACTGGAATAGGGTATTTATTTTTGCAGTAGTTTGAAAAATGTGTTTTTATTTTTCATTCTGACGTCTTCGTTGTAGGCCTAGATACAAATATCGCAAAAAATGTTCTAAATTTCTTTCTAGAAATTTTCATAAAATTCCTAAATTTCTTAAAAAATCTTCTAAATTTCTCAGAAATATCATTTTTTTCTAATGTTAATTTGACCCATTTTTGGCTTTATATCAATTAAAGAAATGAAAAAAAAATATACATTATTATTTGAATAGCAAAAGATGTATATTGCAGGGCCTTCTCTTCCTCTTTGTTCTTGTTCACTCGCCTGTTCAATTTCCACTTCGATAACTTCCGCCATGTTGACTGATTGATTCCACGTGGCGTTGAATTAATTGGTAGGTACTTTGTATATGGTGCATCTTATTGTACTGCAGAATAAATCTGCTGAATTGGTAGTATCGCTGGCTCGTAAAAGGACACGAAATTAATATAAACCGTTTTTTTTTTATTCTTATGAAGTATCTTTTTTGTGATAATTGCTCTAAATATCACTTTTTTTCTTAATTTCTCAACATTTTCTAAATTTCTCAAAAACTTCTAAATATCTCAAAAAATATCGCGATATTTGTATCTAGGCCTTCTTCGTTGATGTTTCCTTGGTCTCCTAGATTCGCAAGGTCTGGCCTCTGTCTCATATTGCCTTTTCATTGTAGAAGATTCCTTGAAATTACAGACATCATTGGATGAGTTTTCACCGACTTTAAATTTATAATTATTGCATGTTTTAGGATAAGTTTTTCGTAGTTTAGTATTCTTTTGTTGTCGACAGCTAAGGGAACACCACAAAAGAAAAAGAAGAAGAAGAAGAAGACGAAGAAGAAGAAGAAGGAGGAGGAGGAGGAGGAGGAGGAGGATTTTCACGGTGTCGTGTTTCTATTCATTGCTGAAATTTAACTTCATAAAAAAAAAATCACGTTTAAGCAATCTCATAGTTTTTATTAGGGTCTACCCACAAAATAATTAATGGATAGCGAATGGGCGCAAGTTCAATTACCCAGCTGTAACATAATAATCTTTTTCCAGTTTTAAAACGGAAGGCATGACTTCTGACTATTCTCACTGCATACATAATTGGCCCGTAAAAAATTAACTACTTAAAATTCCGTCTTGTTGGGCCTGCGCGCTGGTGGCATGATGCATTACGGCCCTTGGTTAGAATTGCTTGGTTTTCGCTGGGTTTTTGCCCGCCTCCTGGCCAGTTCAACGGAGTTCATTGGATGTGACTTAGAGGTTTCGCCCCTCCCACCTCCCCTGGTGGCAGTTGAAGTCGCTTACCCTTATTATTCGG